TCAAAAACAAGACATAATACATTTGCGTTGATTCGGTCGTCTTCTGCTGTGAGCATGCATGAACAGCAACAGCACCCCAGTGAAATAGCTAATTAGACCCTTATTTGCCATCGATAATCATTATTCTACTGTCGTAAATGTCGTCGACATATATGCAACTACAACCATTCTTCGAATACGATAGGCTGTCATGCTGCGTATACTCGTATAGTGCCATTGATCGGAAGTGATTGTTTACTAACAACACACACGAGTTCTTGGAAGCTACTTGCTAGTTGCTACTGTTTTCCCACAACTTAAACTCACGCACACAAATATACACGTATATTATGTATGGAGAAACGTACGCAGAATCAGCAATCAGCAGGCCGAGCTTGTTTTATGCACGCGTGAAAAAACTGATAACATATGAGCACACCTGGCGAAGACAATATCGCACACAATACCGATCGTAGGCAGATAACGTCAATCGTTCCTACAATTAACCCGCGCCCGGCTGGGGGTCCTGGATTTCCACGCCCCTCGGCTCCTGGGCCACGTAGCGATACGCGGAAGGCGGCGTTCGAAAGAGCGTCAAAAATAATGCCGAAATCACTTCGGTCAATTTTTTGGTCAGGTCAAAGGTCAGGTCACCAGAGGTCATTGACGGCCAAATTTCGCCGATTTCCAGGTCGAATATCAAAAATTTCCAAGAAGCCAATGCATAACTCGGGAACCAATAGAGCTACAGCGCCACGGAAAAGCACATTCCATAGCCCTATTAACGCCCTTTCTGAATAATTCTCTCAGATTTGACCTAACGTCAACGGTTTTGCCTGCAGGGTGCAAAAACTGCAAAAATAGCCGATTTTTTCGGAAACAGTTTTTCGGCAATAACTTTTGACCCAAGCCTTTTACGAGCTTACTTTTACCGGCATCGTGTTCCTCTCATCAAGACGCATCGAATGAACTATAACTTGACCTTGAAATGTCAACTTGAAAATTTGGCCTCAGGTCAAGGTCATGACCTGACCGTAAAGGGTCATGTTGCATATCAGTCGATCCGTATCGTCGAGCTGAACACATCTAAGGCGTTTTCATCGCTCTAGCATGCCTCTATCAAAAGTTATTTGCGAAAAACTGTTAGTTACCATTCGTGACCTAAGATGACCTCAGGGCATAAACAAAGGTCACGGACACCATTTTCATGTTCAGTGTGTCTAATATACTTGTAATTCGGTGTTTGGGAGTGTTTATAATGTCTTTCATCCAAAAGAGGCGCATTTCAATTTTCTCCCATTGACTTATACCTAATGGGGAGGTCGCAAAATTGACCTGACCTTAGGTCATCGATATCAAAATTCTGAGATGAACATTTTGTACATTCTGTTGCTCTTAGCAATCGCTGAAAGTTTCAAAGCGATCGGTCACTCGGTGTAGCTATGACAGACATTGAAACTTTTTATGAGGTGAGGTCACTTCAAGTGACCTGGTGACCTGACCTTGAATGACCTTGGTCTGAAATTTTCACAACATGTGTAGAATTGATGTATGATAAGGTGTACCAAAAACGGCGGCGCTCCGCGCCGCCGTTTTTGAGATATTCGCGAAAAACCACAAGGGGGGGTGTTCAAACACCACCCCCCCAGCAGGGCGCGGGTTAAGTAACGATTTCTGGCTGCTGAAAAGAAAGGTAACAATAATTACGGCAAATAATATCGGAGCATAGGGCTATCTCACGGGCGTCGGGCAGTAACAACTAATTACAAATGACACATTGAACGGTATCGAGGTTTAACATGATTGTTTTGCGAGCCTCATGAGCTTATGTTAACATTGAACATCAACGGTTTAAACATTTGTTTCTCCCAGTCACAAGTGTGACATAAACATCATAGACTAACATTCGGAAGCCAACATTGCCAGGATTTCCCCATTATAAACAAAAATAGAGATGTATCAACCATCCGCTCAACAAGTCATGTTCTGTGCTAGCAATGTGGTAACTATGAGCTAGCTTTTGATTGGTTGAATGGCCGCTAGGAGCAGCGGGCGCGAATGATGGCTTTTGAACTGCACAAAGTGCTTCATCCACATAACACTGAATGAAGTGGCACACAGTAATGGCTTTGCTGGCATGACATTGACTGTGATGAGAAGGCAGAGCCTGCACTTACAGAGCAATGGCTGCGCTCACAGTAAAGAATGCGCTTACATAGCAATACACCGTAGTTGCACAGACACATAAGTCACTGCGCTAACACATCAGCGACTACACAAACAGCAGTGATTGTACCCTCACTCGCCAATCCTGCTCACTCATACAGCAGTCCCAGCTCGCTGCCGCCTCGCCGCTGACTCCGCTAGCTTACACTGCGTGCCTGTTCCATTAGAAAGCTGACACACCACTGAATCAGACCGAGTGGCCACACAAAGTGAGGACTCCGTACCTGGAGGGTCACTAAAGAGTCTGTTCAGACTGAGTCCGACTCCTTCATATGACTCCGAGTCAGCAGAGTCTGTGATAGCGCTGTCACTGTCAGATTCAACACTTCCCGAGTCAGGCTTGGCATGTCCAGAGTCAGGCTCAGCACTTCCTGGGTGTTGTTGGTGAATGTCACAGTCAGAATCGAAAGACGCTCTCTCGATTCGTACAGAAATTGTTTGAACTAAATCACGTGTCTTCCTATGTCTATCAGAATGATCAGCTGGTTTCTGTGGGCTTTTGTCTGATCCGGGAAGTATGCCGTTAGATTTAGCATGGCTGCTGGGTGTCCCCTCAGATTTATCATATCCGGTCTTCATTCTCTCGAGCTCATCAGACTCACTTGATGCCTTGCAAATCTTATCAGACTGACTAGCTATGATGCTGATTTTATATGGCTCACTAGACAAGCTCCCCGATCTGTTTGATTCAACAGGGACATGGTTGCCTGCTCCAGCCCGTTCACCACATTTTACCGTAGAATTTTTGTACACAGCAGACCCTCCATTTGAACTTACAACTATACTGCAGGATGAATCGGATTCGGTGGGATTCCTGCTACCAGACACATTGATTGAATCTCTCGAACTGCTATCACGATCTCTAGACCCAAAGTTGATGCGAAGCTTACCATTCAGAAGACCTGCTCTCGTGTTAGCCTGAGATACTTTCACCTCCACATGACTTTTCCGTGTCTCTTTCTCGTCCTCCACTCTCCCTCTCCGTCCTCTCTGTCCCTCTTCCTCGTCCCCTCCTCTCTGTGCTTCTGTCCTCGACACCAGCGCCACCTGTCTCGACCCGACTGACTTAGAGCGCCACCTAATGGACATCTCTGGAGTCCGCCGCGGCGGCGACAGCGACCTTCGTGCCGACACTGGCATTGGAACTGATAGCCGCACTGCCGCTGACGCGTGACCCGACTGACGTGCTGACGTGTGGGTTGACTGACGTGCTGACGCCGTGGTGGGGACTGTCTGACGTGAGGAGGCGGACGTGGAGCGGCTGCGCCGGCCGGAGGAGGAGCTCAGAGTGCGCCGCGCCGCCTGACGCCACCAGAGCGCCACCTGTCGACGCAGCGCGCGGCGCGTCCCACCGCGGAGGACCAGCAGGAGGAAGATGAGCACGCCCTGGAGACTGTTGAACAAGTCTGCCACCAGCCTGTGGGGAGGGATGGGAAGGGAGGGGTCAGACTTGTGCGAGGTGACTGACGGTTCATAACGTTTTGGCCGTTATTGGAAGGAACTAAACGTATTCCGAAGCATTTCACTTAATTATAAAAGAAGCGTTTTTGTTCATGAATGAGATATTGCAAAACTATCTTTCCTTTGAAAAGATTAACAACATTAACTGACCTCAACCCGTTGTCGCAAAACACCTATGTATAAACAACGCGCACGAAAATGCGATTTCTGACTTAGCCAAGCCAGCACTTATGTCTCTGGATCGGCCCAGAAATTGATGACAAGCCGATATGCTCCTCCGTGAATCCCAGTCTCTCACCATAGGTCGCTTGGTCCGAAATGTTTGGAGAGACCCTCGGCGATCCATGATACGCCCATTACAACGAACAGGTGCACGTAGATCTTGAACCTGGAACAAAGACAGTACATGAGTTACATTAATTAAAACACCTATGCAGCGCTCAAAACATTATATTTTGTATACATTACACATCATGTGACATCTCTGATCTCAAACTCTCGCTGGGACGGAGCGTATAGCGGCGCTGCCAAGTAGTTTGTATTGCGGTACAGCATACACCGCAGGCGTTTACTACTGCTGCCACCTGTTGAACGTGCGGTAAGCTAAGCTTGCTGTTTCGCCGCTAGGTGGCACTCTAAGCCCAAGCCTCGCTGTGCGGCCTGATCGGGCCAACCATGCTGCGGGAGGTATGCCACTGATAAGTGGTGTGACAATCAGGGCTGCAGAGTCGATGGATTTTCGGCGACTCCGACTCCAACTCCGACTCCGGCTTTAAAAAACCAGCTCCGACTCCGACTCCGACTCCGGGCAGAATTGTCGACTCCGACCGACTCCAACTCCCGACTCCGACTCCGCAGACCTAGCAGGGCTGCGGAGTCGACAGATTTTCGGTGACCCCGACTCCGACTCCGGCTCGGGTTTCTAAAATAGACTCCGACTCCGACTTCGACTCCGGTCACAACTGTCGACTCTGACCGACTCCGACTCCGACTCCGACTCCGCAGCCCTGGTGACAATATCAATGAAATGCAATTGGGAAGCCGATATCAAGCAAATACCAACAAAGATCATGGAAAAATATCAAACCGCCGCGGATGGCCATCGCCCATCCGCATCATCCTTCACGCTTCCCTTTTCAGTCCGATGGCCACCTCCACCTGACGACCGGTGGTGAGGACAGGGCACCATTGGACTAGACCCTCTCCGGGGTGACCGTGTGAGCGGCAGGGCGGACTGCACCATCGGGACATCACCGTCCCGTCCCACCGGGACGGTCTCTGCCGCTGCAGCGCACCCGTGGGTGGTCCGCACAGTCCAGTGTCTCCTTCCGCCTTATTGTATCATTCCACGGTTCTGCAATGACCTCTACGCAGTAGAAACACAGCAAGCAAACAAAAAATAAACTAACCAAATCAGGTACCTAATTGAGAGAACTATATCAACTTTTAACAAAATTCAGCGCATCTACATAAATGAGGTTTCATAATGCAACATTACCGAAACCAAGGTGATATCTGCTCGGTAACCAAAAGTTAGTATGGCCGATTGATATCTCTATCATTGATCATAAACATTTAAATGCCTTTAGGCGGTAATGCTTAGAATCTTCATTGCTCACATCCCAATTCAGACATTCACATTCATATTGAAAACATTGAAGGCAAAAATTGAAAATGTGATGCGTTTGACTCATCCGAAAGACTCCGAATCGAACTATAAGCACATGATTGACTTAAATCGGCATTCCAAATCATAGCTAGCCAATCAGGCACAACTTTTCGTTAATTGCTTCAAAAGAACATCATATGGGAAAATGTCTGATATATAATGCTGACATTGCTGACTTTAAAAACCTTTTTGGGCACACGCCTCATCCTAATTTCCTGCATGTACTATGTAAAGGGATTATGTTTATGTGCTTTGTGCGTCACAACTTCATGAATGCATGGGTTACGTAATTGCGCTTGATTGATTGATCATCAACTGGACAGGTTTTTGGAGTAAAATAATCTTTGAATCTCCAAGTTTCCAATGAACAATGCAGGAGCCTGTTTGATTGAAACATTGACATTTAAGCGGCATACTTGCCAGTGATTCAGGCCTTACAGAACAAAGCAGCCCCCGAAGTTCAACGATTCTGATTGTAGTTGGAATAAATGAATATGTCCATTGATTCTAAAAAAATCCTTTACATTTTAACACCATTGCGATCTCATTGCATCTCATAACATGAGGCAACACTTTCACCAGAAGCCCACTTTGCGGCGCTGCCGAAAACCCATGATTATGTAAATATCGTATCATTCACCACTGATTTCCCTCTGAAAAGGCTACCAATCTGGCGTCAGACGTCATTTCAGACATGAATCAGGGCGAGTGATACCGTCACTCATGGTGAGGCGTTATCGACCGGCATAACTCAGGATAATCTGCGGCAAGATGTACTGCCAGAAGCGTTCAGTGGGTGTCTGGACAGCGGATGCGATTCTCGATAGCGGATAGCTTGAAACCAAGAGTTGCCTAGGCTAGACGACGTCTAGCCTGCTTCAGAGGTTCCAAAGGCAGGGAAACTCCGTTCGATAGCTATTAAACAACTGGGTTTGTAAGGCAGAGACACGATGACAACACAGGTGGATCTGTATGTAACTGGCGTGGAATTGATACGCGAAGAAAAGAGGAGGAATAGGATACGAAGGGGCTGGAGGGGTACCTGCAGCGATGCAAGCAAATGCTATTGTGAAAACGCACCGATATAATGTTTTGCAGTATGATATCAGATTCACGTAGTGATGTAAACTAAGTAAGAGGTTGGTTGAAATCGGCGACCTATGCTTTTGTTCTTGCTTCTTTCAAAACTAAATTTCTCTATCTGACCTTAATACTTCTTGAGAGGCCAACATCGTCCTTTTTCACAACAGCTGTATCTATTTTCTGAGCCTATGTGTCTGACCAGCCCTGACGCCCCCTGCACCATCCACAACACACCTCCACATATATTTCCATACGTGGAGGTGGGCATTTCTTTCATACATTTACCGGTATCCCCATACTTGCCTCCCCACCAGGCCTCCCCATACGTCAGGTCTCCTACCCCACCTCCCCATCCCCACCCTCCATCCCCCATTATCCCCCTCCATACCTCACCCACCTCTCGACGCCTCTCTTCCTGCTCCGCACTCTCTCCGCGTTCTTCTCCCCCCGGCGCAGGTTACAGGCCGTCACCAGGAAGAAGAACAGGTTGGCAGTCATCAGCGCCAGGATCGGCCAGTGGAAATAGATCAACATCTCACGACTGCCTGCGGGACAAAACGGAGACACATCTCCAGAATATGTATCCAGACATCTCTAGACTGCCAGTAGAAACGGCAGAGTATGTCTTCAGACAGCATCTCATTCTCAACACAACATATCCATTAGTCAGTCAATATCTCCAGACTGCTTGCAGGAAAAAATAAACAAACAAAAAATATCCAGAAAATGTTTCGAGACATCTTCACGCAACGTATCGAGACAGCCTGAGCCAAAGGGATGAAGTATGGTGGCACTACAATCAAAACGCAAACCGTAATGCACGGTGTTCGTGAGAGTCGTTCAGTTCACCCGTTCGAGTACTCGTTCTCTTTCGTCACCCGGAGGACCATAAAGTTATTGTTCATATATGAAAAAGTCTATTCTCGATTACTTAGCAAGCGGTTAAAAAAGGGTGAAATACGGCGGTCACAGGTGCAGCGCAATTCGGCGTTCACGTAAGGCCGCGTCGGCCACGTCGTAACACCGGGCCGTGTCGCGCCGGCGGAGTCCCGTTGAAGACTGTCGGGCCCCCGTCCCGTCTCAGCCCTCGTGGTAGCACAACACGTGGGCATGAGAACCAGGACAGGGGCCAGATGACACGATTTACACATGTGCGCGCGGCGCGGCACGGCGGGCCGACCGCCGCGCTCCGCGCACCGGCCGTCTTCCTACACAGATATCTACAGAAACGTATTTGCTCGCTAACATAGCCGGCCCGGTTTTTCGCGATCATCCGCGGAAAATCCAACCACTAGCGAGCAATCGTTCAAGCGTCTCGTACGCACGCACACACTCGCAACGATCCGTACACCGTGCGCAATATGCATACACTCACATACAATACGCATTACGCACTACACAGAGTCTGGCCGGGGCGGAGGTCATTCCTGACAACAATCACGCGCCCAGTCGTAAAACTATACGACCGGCGCGGTCCCGGCCGCCGGTCACTGTCACGCACTGACGCATGTCGTTAACTACGAACGCTCGCTCGAGAGGCACTGACGGCAGTGACAGTGCCGTCACATTGTCGACACACTAACGCCCATCGCACAACGTACACTCGACACACATTACGTTACCGAAGCGGCGAAGCGAACAAACGCGGACGTACAATAGCGCTAACACGGTACGTATCATAAACTAATCTAACACTGCTATGTTACACTCTAAGGTCGTAAACTACTAGCTCATCCAAAGCCCGACCGGCCAAATGGGCCGGGAGGGACACTGTCACAGTGTGAACGCGTAGCACCGCCCCACGGCTCACAGTTGATAGCTAATGACTGAACACTAAACACAAATGACCATTCGCAGCGGACAGAATGAGCGGCTCACTCTCTCACGCACACACACACACGTTAGCACCGCGAATGGTGGGCGCTGGAAACACTAATAAACGCTCCGATCTCCGCACTGCTCGCCGGCGGCACAGTGCGGTCGTAGACGACTCACTTTAGCCGTCCCACGTGCGCGCACATTATCTCTCCGAGTCCATTTACTGTCAGAGACGAGAGACAGGCAGCCTGTATTGGCCGGTATCAGTCGTCACGTCAACGGCGGGAATAAGACCGCCCACACCAGGGTCACACACTCCGCTCATCTCACCGACCAATGTCCACGTGGTACGTTTACGTCGGTCAGTCGCACTAGTTCGCCAACCCTGACCTCGGTCGTGTCCATGATCGACATGCAGTGTGCGGTCGGCGTGTGCGGGGAGACACTCTCGCCGCCGGCGTCGCCAGGAGTGATCCTGCGGCTGCGTGTTCTTCCGCTTCCAGCGACGGCCACCGACTCTGAGCAGGCCGCCGGAGTTCATGAGGCAGGACGAGAAGTCACTGCCGTTTACGACCGGCTCCGCTCGCTCCGTGACGCACGCCGTCACCCTCGTCTCGTCGCCGGAGGGGGCGGCCGGGCCGGACCGCGCAGCTGGACCTCGTATCCACGGTCCGCCGGGGGCGAGGTCCGTCCCCGGGCCGCCTCTGCTGAAGATGTCGGCCGGGCCCGGCGGCTCGGCTGCGTGACACCACTGGGTCGTCTCTGATGATTCCTGGGTGTGAAGGTCAGCGACTGCACTCGTTTTATCACTGACACGAACGTGATTGACAACGTGTTCACCATCGAGCACCGAGCGTTCCGACGCCCGCCCGGTCACCGTCCATCCCAACAGCGTCCTTACGGCGCACGGCGTTCCCGTCGGTCCCTCGATCGCTTCCCGCGGCACAATAAGTTCGATGACGTCGGTTCCCAGGAGCACCTCCACTGGGCCGTGGGTGGCGCTGGGGAGATCCAGGTCGGCCAGGTGCGGCCATTTCTCCTTTGCCACTGTGCAGTCCATGGCCTTCGCTGACACGTTTAACGTCGGCGTCGTTTGGGCGTTTCGTATACGGTGTGCCCTGCCGTCACCGCCCGCAGCCTCAACGGCGAAGGATACGCGTCGTGACGTCGTCATTTGGGTCCCACTCAGCGTACTCAGCACCAATTTGTCGGTGGGCCCCGAGATGCCGAGTCGGTCACACAGGTCGTCGGTGATCAGTGTGATCTGACTCCCGAGATCCAGGAGCGCGTTCGTGGTGCGGCTACCTGCCGGCCCATTTACGGTGATGGGCACCACCTGCAGGAGAATATCACTGCGAGGCTCGGCCGATGCGGTGCCGACATGTTTGGCAGATGACGGCGTACCATCATCGGAACCGCGCAGCGGAAACACTCGTCCTCCATTGTGTAACAGCGTGTGATGACGCCTGCCGCAGTGCTCCGCGTCACATCGTGCATCACTGGGACACGTGGCGCTGATGTGATCGCGACCCAGGCAGTTAAAGCACAGTCCGTTTCTGCCGACGAACTCTGCCTTCTCACTCACAGTCAGCGCGAGAAATTCGTCACAGTGCTGGAGCTCGTGTGTTTGCTGACACATGGTACACCAGTCACTGCGTCCGTCCGCTGATGACTTTATGGCAGCTGTCCTCTCCCGCCTTACAGCCGCCGGCGTGGGCCGCGCCGACGCGGTGGTAAACACGCGTCTCGGACGGCACTCAGCGTCATTAGCCTCGACCTTCGGCAGCTGCTTGGTGGTCACGTTCAAGGCCAACCGACCAGCTGACACATGACGGCGAAGCCATTCGTCGAGATCGGCGAGCGTCGGACGAGTGATGCCGTTCTCAACCATGTGCTCACCCCACCTCCAGGCGAGGGAGGCTGGTAGCTTCCCAGTCACAGTGGTGACGTTCGTGGCGGCAGCGAGGTCGTGCTCGTAGTGCAGACACTGTAGGACGCTCACCGCGGTGTGGAGCTCACGAGACAGCTCTGTTAGCGCTGACAGGTCGCCATCTTTCACCGGCCGCGCTGTGAGCAGTCTTTTCATCGTGGCGTGTATCACACGGGACGGGTCACCAAACTCTCGCTCCAGCTCACACAGGGCGGTGCTGTATAGACTGGCGTCGCAGAGCATGCCCCGCACAGACTCTCTCGCCGGCCCCGTCAGGTGAGTCTGCAGATAGGTCAGCCGTTCTACGTCGGTGAGGTCGGCGCGGTCGTGCACCAGCGCTTTGAAGAGGGCTATCCACCGCGGCCACTCGATGGCAGAGCCTCCGAACTTCTCCAGTGTGATGCGCGGCAGATGCGGGACCGCTCGCGTGTCGTCACTGGACGGGCGCTGCAGACGCATTGCAGGTGGAGGCACAGCGCTGGCGGGAGCCGTATCCACTGGTGGCACGTGTAGCTGAGACTGAGTCAGCCACTGTCGGGTGCGCGCGACCGACTCGTCCGTCTGTCGAGACACGCATACCTGCGCCGGTGGCTCTGTTGCAACCACCGGGAGGCCGGCGACGGATGGTGCAGCGTAAGAACGAGCGAGCTGCGAACCCCGCTCCTCCTGCTCCAGCAGCTCCAACTCCAGCTGGCGGCATTCTGCTTCATCCTTCGCCGCCTGGGCTTCCAGTGCTGCCTGCGCCTCCGCCTGCTCCGCCTGCTGCCGGGACTGCTCTGCCTGCGCCTCCGCCTGACGCCGGGCCAGCTCAGCCTTGGCGGCGGCGGCGCGCTGGGCCTGTTCCGCCTGGAGCTTGCTTAGCGCAGCTCGGCGGCGGGCTTCACTGAGGCCGGAGGACGCCGTACTGAAGCTCGCCTCACTCCTCGTGTGATATGAGCTCCGGCGACCTTGATGCGACTTTGCATCACTGTCGTGTCGTGACCGTTTGTCAGACATTGCACTCACAGTTCACAACACCGCGTCGTCACTGTAAATCCATTCGCACACTAGTTCACTGATATCCGGCCCGGAGGACCAGAATGTTCGTGAGAGTCGTTCAGTTCACCCGTTCGAGTACTCGTTCTCTTTCGTCACCCGGAGGACCATAAAGTTATTGTTCATATATGAAAAAGTCTATTCTCGATTACTTAGCAAGCGGTTAAAAAAGGGTGAAATACGGCGGTCACAGGTGCAGCGCAATTCGGCGTTCACGTAAGGCCGCGTCGGCCACGTCGTAACACCGGGCCGTGTCGCGCCGGCGGAGTCCCGTTGAAGACTGTCGGGCCCCCGTCCCGTCTCAGCCCTCGTGGTAGCACAACACGTGGGCATGAGAACCAGGACAGGGGCCAGATGACACGATTTACACATGTGCGCGCGGCGCGGCACGGCGGGCCGACCGCCGCGCTCCGCGCACCGGCCGTCTTCCTACACAGATATCTACAGAAACGTATTTGCTCGCTAACACACGGCATTGGAAGAACGGGGAAAAGAGCCTCCTAACAGCATACCCCGTGTGATGAAGTCACAACCACCTTGGGTGAGGTCAGTTCATTCGACGTTCATTCGGCATGTAATGACGACGTCACTGTCCGGTCATATGACGAAACAACCGGATAGTGGGATGACGTCACACTTCGATCAGATGACGTCACCCCGTGATCCGATTACGTCATTTAACCTTATTCGGGGGAAGGGGGGCACAATAGATCCACAGATGTAATCGGCGATGCGTTACCGCAAACGGCGTCGACAGGACAA